TGTAAAGAACCTGTGTGATTTACATATTATCCTTAATGGCAAACTATAGCTTATCCAGACCAAATTAATATATCAAAAAGGGTATAAAATAAAAATGCCAGAAGAGAGTAGGAAGAAATGGCAACAAAAATGCCACCAGAAGAGAAAGAAGGCTCCCACATACCAGTTAAGCAGCAGATCAAGTGTGGGTCAGGGATTCTGTTCATCTGACAACAAGAGCCCACTGCCCTGGTGGTGTTTCTGGGGCTTTCTTCCTCAGTACTTAGACCAGTTTTTCTCTGCATCTTTTTTTTTTTTCTCGAGATGGAGTTTCACTGTCGCCAGGCTGGAGTGAAGTGGCATGACCTTGGCTCACTGCAACCTCCACCTCCTGGGTTCAAGCAATTCTCCTGTCTCAGCCTCCTGAGTAGCTGGGACTACAGGCGTGCGCCACCACGCCCAGCTAATTTTTGTATTTTTAGTAGAGACGGGGTTTTACCAGGTTGGCCAGGATGGTCTTGATTTCTTGACCTCGTGATCCACCCACCAATCCCTCCCTAAGTGCTCGGATTACAGGCGTGAGCCACCGCGCCCGGCCTCTCGGCATCCTTTTTAGAGTGCTCTTAGATTAACAAATTATTAAACACTTCTCTACAGCTCAGTATCTATTTAACATTAGTCATGTTGTAGACATAATTAAAATATATCTTCCAACAAACATGAATTTCCTTTTTTTTTGGTCTCTCCATTATGGGTATTTTGAAAGAAGCCTTTCTCCTGCAAACTGTACCTTTTAAACTACCTGGGCTCTATTGTAAGAACAAAACTGCAAGGATAGCAAGGCTAAGTTTTTTCCTTTTCTGATCTACTAAAAAAAGGTCTCTCATAGGTCCCTCTTTGTGTTTATCATCACCTGTAGAGTCCAAGAAATCGGAGTGTCTGCATGAGTTCAGTGTAAGTGTGGTGATTTGGATACCAGTCATAAGTCTCCTTCTTCTTGGCCAAGGGCAGTTCACTAAACAGTTTCACCACTTTCATAGACTTGGAATCAGTAGGCCTGACGACTTCACCAAATAGCCGGGCACTGAGACGAGACATGCGCAAGGCATATTCTGAAAGGGAGGACATTTCTTGAGTGGCAAGGAGTTAGAGTTCCTATAGAAAATGAGAAGAAAGATAAACAGGTTAGGGTAAGAAATTCCGAGATTAGCTAATGAATACTTTAGAAAATGCGAACACAGCAAGCCGCTCATGGATCAGTGCCGTGTTGGCAGGATATGCCTCGGAGTGGAGAAGTATCCACAGGCCAAATGGCTATTTCCTTTTCATGCTTTACAGCTGCGATTTTTACATTTTGTGTTTACATGCTATTACTTCCTTGCTGTATTGCCTCCTTTACAACCAACTATTTTGTGATTCACCAGGTTATTTACTGACAGTCAGTTTACCTATTTGTAGGCTGGGGATGAAGAAGACAGGGAAACAAGTTATCCTAGTCCAGCATTATTATACCTTCAGAAAACACCCACCTAAGCAATCTGCAGCATTAATATGCTGACTGCTTGCCATCAAAAGGTGTAATCATGGCAGAGCCATAATTATGCTGTTGTCTTTATTATCAGTCCTTTGAACACTGTTCTCCTCAAGGGCTCCAGAAGGCTCTGAGAGCTGCTAATGAGTTATGAGGTCATTTGGCTTCTAGGTTACTGAACTGAATTTTGCCTAGAGACTGAGAGCCATTTGGGAAAAACAAACAGACAGTAGCCCTATAGAAATAAATCCAATAGCTCAAAAGATTCACTTTCTTACTAAATAGAAAGCACGTATGAATTGTGAGGTTACTTGCTGTATCTTCCATCTTATACATTCTGCTTTAATGCAGACTAGCTAAGTTCTTATCAGCGGAAAACAGTAGCTTTTTCTTCAGAGGCACACAACACTGAAATAGGTATAAGAATGATATCCACAATATGAACAAATTACAGCTAATAGACATAAAAAACTATACAGGGGATACATAAAAATCAAGAAAGCTGCTGGTGGAATAACTATCTCAACTCAGTTTAGACCAGATGTAGGGGTTATTGTTGGCAGAATATGCCAATTTATGAGAAAGTTTAGTAGTGAGATGAGAATCTTTGCTGACTCAGAGACTATCCTGGGAAACAGTTCAGCTGAGATGAAAAGGTGCTGATATTCAAGCAGGAAAAAGGCACAAACCTTGAAAAACCAATGGGAGAAATGTACCAAAAAACCCTCCTACATAAGAATGGTGCCAAGTGAATTTCAAAATAGTTCTTGCAAGAAAACAAACCGTGTTTAAATTAAGGAAGTTTCAATGCCTATTTCTTTTTTTTT